AGCCAGTGGAAAACAAGCCTTACGTGGACTGCCTCAGCCACCCAGTGGTACTTGGTCTCCTCAGTGGTGAGACCTTTGTGGGGTGTGTAGCCAGCCTCCCTCAGCCCTGCCTGCTGCTCAAAGCGATGAATGCTCTCCTGAGTCTCCTCTGGAACAAAAAGAGCACAAATTCACACAAAAAGGTCACCACAGGCAGTTCTAGCAAAGGCAACTTAAGCAACCAAACGCAAACCCTTTTTTCATCACTTGTATCTACACATTGTAATAAGCCCAGACAAGAAGATGAAGCTAATGAGCTATTCTGATTTGAAAACTACCCTGAGACACAGGGCTAAGTCAGATGTACAGTGATTTGTCCCAAATCACCAGATATATTACATACATAATACCTGTAATTAATCCCATCTCACCCAAGACCCTGCATCATTCCTACTTACAACTTCCTAAATCTAGGAGATACCAAAAAGCTGGTTATTTTAAATTGCCCTCTAGATTCAAAGAAGGCTTGCAGAACAGGTGTTAAAGACTCACAGTGATTACCCAGATTAAGTAAAATAAGATATTTCAGCCAAATACAAAGCCAGCATCCAATAAACTGATATCAACTTCACTTCTGATAAACATAAGCACTTTCTCCAAACCTCCAGCATAAGATGTTCACTCCAAAGTCAAAAGGAATCAGAGCACAAAGACGTTACCAGAAAAGCCCAATGTCTTCTTTAAAATAGGTAATGCTTCCCATGGTAAATTTATTTGCAAGGATACTGCACTGTAGATATGACAAATCCAGAGGAACAATGTCTCCTGGAAGGTGCAGGTGCAGTCAAGGCTCCTGACTTCTTACTGCACAAGAACATTTTTAGACTATCATAGTTTTAACCAGCTTAGCATTTATCATTTGACCAGAACAGGAGCTGCTTTCCAGGAGAAAGTCCATATTCCTGGATGTTATCTTCTGACGTGTTGGTTATTTTTGAGTCAAGACAGAAATAAATGCAAAGGTTCCAAAATGCTTGTCTGAAAATCTAGAAGTGTTTGGAAGCACTGCTTGGAGGAAAAGATGGCAGCTCAGATCCCATCTGCTGAAAGAAGAGGCAGCAGGGACAGATTAACATAAGAATAATTCCCCTTGCTGCAAAAGGGCAAACATAACTTCTCTGCAAACATAACTGACCTAATTTTATTTTAAAGCATCATGATTTATGAGGTTTGGTTTTTTTAAAGTGTTACTGTCAGCAAGGCAGCTGCTGCTATTAACTAACATAAATGCCAGCAAGAACTCCATTAGCACAGGGTGTCAGCTCTCACCGCTTGGGTTAATGTCAGAGCTCTGCCTGTCATTCAGAAATAGCAAGTTAATAAGCAAACAGAACAGCAGCAGCCTCTGCACTCCAGCAACACGGACTGCAGTGTCCTGTCAGCACATAATGTACCCTGCACTCCTCCCACATCACCCACCTCCAGCCCTTGGAAACACAGAAGCACTAAGCGTAGCCTATTCCCTAGTTTCTTGCTTCCTTCTAGAAGTATCCTCCTAAAAGAACTCACACAGCTCAAGAGCAGAGTCAGTCTGAACCCACGAGCTCCCCAGCCACTCCAGAAGTTACCTTGAGGCATCAAGGACACTCACTGCCCCCTCCCCATCAGCCACCATGTGAGGGGTGAGTTCTTACTTGTAATGAGGGAGTTCATGATGACGTCAGTGGCCTTGGCCTTCACCACAGGCACCTTGTTCACACTTTCAGTGGACGATGAAGGAGTTATGACGGGGGCACTCGTGTTTGTATCCCCTTCCTCAACCTGTGGGAAACAGCAGGGGACAGTTTGAGACGGGAAAGTATCTCAGCACCTGGCCAGGACACATCTCTAAACACAAAAGTGAGACACGAGGCCAAGCTGCTCTAGCCTTCATCCCATGGGAAAAATCCCTACACTATGCTCACTGCAGCCCAGGAATGTTCAGAGCTTGAACCTTAGAATTCATAGCAATGAACAAGAAACTTGCATCTAACATTTGAAAACCTGCCAGGCTCAGAGCCAACAAGCTGTTAGGCCAAGTACAGAAAGGTCAACAGCAAAGAAAACAACATCTGTACTTCTCTCAAAGGCAAACTGGACTTCAAGGTCAACTGGGCAAGAGCACCTTCCACAAGCAGCTCAAGCACAAGCTGTTCACAGAGGAGAGCCTGGTGTGAACATCTTGTTTTCCCTTCATTCCTTTTATCTGTTTCTTGCTCAGTGTATCAAGAGGTCAGAGCTCTACCAATGATCATGAGACCCCAGCAAAGAAAGAGAAAATAAATGTTAGAAAACAAGAAATCCTGTGAAATGCAGACTTCCTCCTCCTAAAACAGGAGCTCCCTGGCTGGAGAGCTTGCTCTTTGTGCAAAACCACAACTTTGGGTTCTCTTCCACAGGAGACTTTAAAACAAAAGGGAGTGTACAGTAGAGGTTAAAGTCAAAGGGATCAGAGTTATGTAAGTCCACTCAGCAACATTTAATTTCACTTCAAACTTAGAAAACAACCTCTAAATTTAAAAGGGCTAGTCCTGCACTCAAAGCACAAAATCACAGAATGCTTTGGGTTGGGAGGGACCTTAACGATCATCAAATTCCAACCCCCTGGCATGGGCATGGAAACTCTCCCAGGTTGTTCCAAGCCCTGTCCAACCTGGCTTTGGAACACTTCCAGGGATGGGGCAGCCACAGCTTCTCTGGGCAACCTGTGCCAGGGCCTCACCACCCTCAGAGGAAAGAACTCACATCCAACCTAAACCCACTCTTGTGCTCTAGTTTGATTACAACCGGCTAAAGCGCTTTTATTCACAAACACCGAGGAGACGCTCAGCACGCGCTTGTCCCTTCCCACAGCTGGGAATGCCGGGCAGGAATGCCGGGCTCTGTCCCCAGCCCCTCCCGAGGGTCCTGCTGCGGGGGGCAGGAGAGGGACCAGGAGGGAGTGGTGTCAGGAGAGGATAACAGGAGGGGGATACCCAGAGGAGTGCAGGGGTGCGGGGACACCCGGGGGTCATGCTCGAGCCAGGGCAAGGCCCAGCCCGTACCTTCGACAGCTCCTGGTACTTGCGCTCGGGGATGACCGGCTGTTTCCACAGGACGCCGGCACATAGGTCGGCGGGGGGGGGCGTCATGGGCGCCGGGTCCTCCAGGGCATCGTCGTAGCTGAAGGCGCGGCGCGGGACGCCGAGGGGCAGCGACATTCTGCCCCGGTGGGTTCCGCCGCCCGGCTCCAGCGCTGCGGAGAGAGCGCAGCGCTCAGCGACCGCCAGCGCGGCCCACTGGGGCCGACGGGGAGCGCGGGGGGGCCTTACCGGGAGCGTCGGGCTGCGCAGAGCTCATGGCGCGGGCGGTGCGGTCAGCGATGGGCGGCGCGGTCAGCGATGGGCGGCGGAGCGCGGCGGCGCCGAGACCGGCCCGGCCATGGCGGAGTCTCCGGCAGCCGCGACCGGCGCAGGGGATAGGGAGCTAAGGAGGCACTCTTATAAGCGCGCAGATCTCGCGAGATCTGGCTGCGGAACGCGGGGTGCGCTGGGAGATGTAGTTCTGATGGAGGGGGCGGAGACGGGTCCCGCGGGCTTGTGCCAAAGGGATTCCGGTCACAATTCCTGCCGGGATGACACAGGCAGAACACGGTTCCTGCCAGCTGGCAGCGCTGCTCCCATCCCGAGCAGCCGCGTCTCTCCCTCGCAGGATAAGAGCGAAGCCCTGAGCACGGCAGAGCTGCCAGCGAGCAGAGTCAGCTCTTCCTCCTGCCCACCAGCGCGACCTGGGCACCGTCACCCGAGCCCTGCCACCCGAGCCCTGCCACCAGCGTCCTCTGCGTGAAGAGCCTGCTGGCAACCCTGCTCCCCCAGCCCTGAAGCCCACACAGTGGGGGCAGACAGGCTCCCACCCCCAGCAGAGCTCTTCTTTGGGGTCTGCCACGAAGAGGATGGAGTGACCAGGGAGCTCCTGGAGCTCAGACTTGCTGCTGGCCCTGGGGTGTTCACTGCACCCCACGAAGTCTGAGGGTGAGCTGTGGGAAGCTGCCCTTGGGGAGCATGAGCAGCAGGCTCTGCTGCCAGGCATGAGAAGAGGGCAGCCATCTCCCACAGGATAGAGTTGGAATCTCCCTTAGGATAGAGGTACAAGCATGGCTCTTACCTTCTGGTGAGATCCCCAGGGCCCCACACCTTCACAGCAGCCCTGCAGGATATTAAATGAACAAGCAGGGCAGTCCTCTTGCTCACAGGCACCAACAGTACCCACTCAGGAGGTGGGCTCTCCTTCCTGGGAAATCAGTTACTGCTGGTACAGCCCTGCCAGTACAGCACACAGTGGGAATAACCAGCTCAGCCTGTCCATTCCAAGGGCTGAGCACAGCTCTCAACTTTCCCAACCCTGTATTTAAAGCCCTGTTTAGGAGAGATGAAGGCAGGTATCGAACAGCCCAGCACAGGGGTGAAGATGGGCTGTTCTGTGGGAGCTGCACTCCACAGGTATTTGCCTGCTCTGCCTGATGCTCCACTGCCCCAGGGAGAAGGGGATGGAGCCACACTCAGGGATAGCAGGAAGCCCTGCCTGCCGGCAGGACTCTGCTGGATCAGCCCATAGGGCACTGGGTCCTGGAAAACCAGTTGTGGAAGCTTGGAGCCCATCGAGGAGCAGGAGTACACACCAGCCTGTCCCCGCTGCAAAACCCTTCATACAGCTGCTCCTTCCTTTTGTCATAAAAGCTCTGCACTGCCCTCCAGCTCCTCAGCAGGGAAGGGACCCCAGCCTGGTCTCCCACACTGCAGGCAGGAAGGTCACCAGCAGGGGAAGGAAGCAGCACATGGCCCCACTCTGCTGCCTACAGGGCAATCAGCCAAGGTCTGAGTGCTGCCCACACCCCGTGGGCCCCAGCCCTGTCACCACGGAGGGTGACCCGTCACATGGGTCGGCACCAGGAGCTCTCTAAAGCAGGGCTGCACCAAGCAAGAGTCCAGAGCAAGACATTCACACCAGCTTGAAAGAATATTTTATTTCAACAAAGCAAAAGAAGTGCCAGCTGCCACACAGAAAGTGAGCAGCACAGCACAGTCAGTGCCAATGCCAAAGAGCCTTTCATGGCTGGTTAAAACCATCTCTGTCTAATGAGGGTCCTTTCTCCATCTCCAGAGGCTTTTTTTCAGTTCAGAAAATGGTCATGTCAAGCCTGCACTTGCAGGTAAACCTGAGGAAAAAGGGCAGTCACTGCACATCCATCTTTTCCGGCTTGAGTGATGCAATGAATTCCTTGTACTCCTCGGGATAGAAATTCTTGTACACATTGATCTTTCTCTTAATCTGCTTGGGAGTATCCTGGTAGTAGTTCTTCTCATCTCGAGCCATTTCCTGTGACAAAGAAGAGGGTAAGTCAGAGGAGCAGCCCCAAGAGCAAACACCAACCCATCCCTCCCACGCCAGCGCAATCACTCCCTGACTCACAGGGACCTGGCGATGGTTCAAAGCATTGTTTTCCCTTAACAATCAGATGACTGCAAAACAGGATCTGGGACAGAGAGGATTAGCAATTCCCATCCTGCAAAAGGTCCAGGAGCAAGGACTCTCTGGGTTCTCCTTGCCCTGGGACAGCCAGGCCATACCTTGTAGTTTTCCCCGTGGTTCTGTATCATGTACTGCACGTAGTCAATGAGGTCCCGTGACAGCGTGTTTGACTTCTTCTCAGGGAGGCTGGCCTCATATTCCATCTCTAGGCAGAGGAAAGAGACAGCATGAAGAGAGGAAGGAAGCAACATCTCCTCAGAGGTTCCCAACCTCTCCCCAGGGTCAAGCCTGCCCGTGCTGCAGACTCCTGCTGCACAGTTTGGCTGCTCACGCATGCAGGGACACTTCCCAGCATGATGGTGCAGGAAAATGGACAACACAAGAGCCCTCTGCATGGGCTGCAGGCATCCAGGCCTGTGCTCTAGCTCACACCATGAGGAGAGGTCCCTTTCTGCCCAGGCTGCAGAGTGTGACTGCTCAGAGCTGCCCAGCCCACCACTAAAACATGCTGGATACTGAACTATGGCTTCTTGTCACCCTGGGGCCACACACCAGCATGTTTCACAGTGACACAGTGCCCTCTTGGGGAAAGGCAGCCCAGGAGAGAATCACAAAATCATTAGGGTTGGAAAGGACCTCTGGAGATCACCCATTCCAACCCCCCTGCTATGGCAGGGTCACCTGGAGCAGGTGACACAGGAATGTGTCCAGGTGGGTTTGGAATGTCTCTAGAGAGGGAGACTCCACACCCTCCCTGGGCAGCTGTTCCAGTGCTCTGTCACGCTGAACGGTGAGAAGTTTTTTCCTTGTGTTGAAGTGGAGCTTGTTGTGTTTTAGTTTATGGACATTACTCCTTGAAAAGGTAAAAGAAATTCATGAGACAGATCCAGGGGAATGGCAGAGCTGCTGTCCTGCTCTGGCCTGGTTGGGAACCCCCAGCCAACTGCTGCCCAGGGCCTCCACAAGCCCATGAGCCTGGACAAGAAGTAACACTCTTCCCTGCCCCTGGCACACCATAGAGAGACAAAATACTCCCCAGGGCCTTGGGAGAACCCCACATGCAGCACTGACCGTTCACCACATATGGCTTCCGCACTATTTTCTTTCGTGACTGTTGTCCATTGCTTTCTGCTTCCACCCCCTGTGTTACATGAGAGAAAAGAACACTCAAGAAAAGTCTATTTGGAAGAGGGCTGTGTCCGCACACATTGCTCCCAAAACTTCTGACTGCTTCTACATGGCTGCAAGGGCCAGGAAATCTCAGCTGGCTTAAGCAGAGCCTTAT